CCCCCCCCCCCCCCCCACACACACAATGCGGTGCCCCTATAGACCCAGGGAACTCCCCTTTCTACAAGTACTTACTACACTAGATGAGTGTGCATGTCGCAACGAGGCGGCTGCCATCGTAGCCTGTTGGCAGTACATTACGTAGGTTGAAGCTGTTGAATGCAGTGCAATTTTCATCCTCACCCATTACAGGGCCTCGTACTCCCTGATTCTATCCGAGCCAATGCTTACATCAGGGCTGAGGAAGGGTGCCTACGATATCCTACGATGAGGCCCACTTGCCCATCTTGTCTCTGTCCAGGTGAGCCTTGAGCATATCACGTTCGTCCTTCAGCTGATGCACCTGCAGCTAGCCGCTCCCAGTCACAAAAAACAGGAGTGGCTCCAACGCTCCCTTCCTGCGCTTCCGGGCCAGCGCCGGCTCCAGTACGCGCGCGAGCTTCGGCGAGCTGAGCAGCGGCGCAAGGAGGCGCTTGCCACATTTGCCTAGCCTTGTGCACCTTCTTCGACTCGCCGAGCTTCTCCAAGTGCATCCTTCAACAGGGCCCAATCGCATCACACATGAGCTGAGGCTGATGTGTTTTGGTCTTGCCCGCAGGTCCTCAAAGATTCCACCTCCGCCTGTGTCGAGCAAAGAAACATTTTTATTCCCTGCTCAAGCGGGCCTGTGAGTGTTTCATGCAGTCACTGATGCTGCAATGCAATATCAACTCTCTCTCAACCAAGCTGAACCACTCGATCGCTGCAGCACTTATGCATGTTCGAGCCCCAGTTCGAATTGGATGAGGGTGGACGACAAATCGTCCACTTATCTTTGCGAGTCAAACACAAGCAAAGTAAAGAGTCACGCAAGCTGAACTTTGCTTCCAAATAATCAGTATGGTTGCAGAGGAAGCTCGGTCACTTTGACTGGCCATGTCTTCAACCACGTAGACGCACTCGCGCATTGCAGGGCTTTGGTGGCATTGGAAAAGGCAGCTTCTGGCTAGGGGCTTTGAGAAGAGCCGTTTCCACGATGCTACTGGCGAGTTGGTGACTCTAGGACTTCAGGGAATTCTCTCTTTTGAAGGTGTAAGGCCGGGGCATGCGAAAAGGGGAGTCAACATCCTTTATTGAAGGCTATATATGACATTGCTCCGAAAGCACAGGCAGAACGAAGGATCAAAGTACCACGCTTCACGGGGCTGTCATGGCTTGCGTGCTATGCTTCTGCGCGAGGGCTCGGCATGCTAAGGAACAAATGCTGACCACGGTCTTGCAAAGGTGCGACGGTTGGAAGTTTCTCTTGCCAGTATGGATGCCCTGCGGACTGAAAAATTACTAGATGTTCTTTGATGCTCGCCGCTGCTTCGGTCAAGCTCCCAAGGCTGGTCAACACAAGCATTGACGAGTGCCTGCTGCGACCGATTTGACGAGGAGATCTCCTTCAGCTGTTCCTGCACTCGCACTCGGCAAAGCCGCAGGGCCTACAACAAGTCAGCCCAAGAGGTTGCCGCGCTGCACCTATCGCCTCAAAGTCTCTGAGGCTCTCTGTAACTCGGCATCTGCTTGCAGTGGCTTCACGACTTCACGTGGAAACGGCAGAGAGCAAAGCCTAGCCGAACCGTCTCCGACTTCGCTACCACCATCTACAACCCGTCTGGCCTGCAAGCGATCGGCGGATGGTACATTTGTTGCGCCGTCACACTGATCCTGAAGACCTTCGATGACCTGTCGAGCGGCAGAGCCTGGTATGTCTGGTCGTGCTGGAGCTAAAACGAAGCGGCTACTTGTGAAGCCTTTCGGGACCAAGGAGGCTGCTTGAAGGGTTCAGGGCTTCAAACCCTACCCCTTGGGGATCCAGTGGCGGTGTTCTCAGCAGCGTCCGCCGCTGTTTCTGTGAACAAGTTGCAGTATCGACAGAGCAATTAGACCCCTGCAGGGATGAAATGACAGGAGTAGCTGCTTACAAGCTAGCCGTTTCAGTGTAAGCTTGGAGCAGCGGCGATATTCCATTATGAAGCAGTCTCAGACACGACATGCAACAGAAATTCACACCAATCGGCCTCCGTGAAGCCGGATATGGTTTCCATCAGCTGCTCCTTCGGCACAACAGCAGCATGCTTGTGATAGTGGGAAGTGTCAGCAACTGCAGAGCTTGAGATTCAACAAGCCTCCTTATTACCTGCCAGATCCTGCCAGGTTGAGGGGCTAAGAGCATCGATAGCCTATGAAATTCACCAAAGCCTGTCTTGTAACTCGAGTGGCCTCTATGGGCAGACTCATTGATCGAGAGACTTTCCGTCGCAAAGCCATGTTGCGGGCAGCCACTTCTTCCGATTCCGATCAGACAAACTGCACCCCGGAATCATGAAGCAGCCTGCATCCTTTTCTGACTCAGATCTTCTCTAGACCAAGAGCATTGTGCAAGAAGCTCACTTGTCGGCTGAATTCCTCGTTGCGCTCCTGCCAACTTACCGCTCCGGCATGCCCTGAATCAGAGCAGTAGACAACTAAATTGTCACCAGAGCCACCATCGGAGCTGCGGCGGCGGCTGCCACCTGAATCGGATGCTCCTTCATGCTTTGCTGTTCCCTTTATTCTTAAGGAAGGCCCAACAAGAACCACCAAAATACATACCTGAGATCCGTGGATTGCATGAGAGTGCTGCTTCCATCGAGCAGCTCTCAGCTCTGGCTCACGCTTTTGGCGAAGTTCAAGATTGACCGATGCCAAGAGGGCCGACGCCCAACGCCCCGCCTCTGCCCTCCTGCCGCTAAAACAGCACCGCTGTGCGCACTGTGCTCACTTTGCTTATGAAAAATCGTAAACGGCTACGACGACGACGACGACAAGGCGCATCTTAGGCACCTTGAGAACACATCTAGGTCTTCGATGTTAGCCCACCCATATCCCAGCTACGGCAGCTCATGCCCACTCTATTATTACCCACTGCGGAAGCTTTCGAGTCCCAGCGTGCACAACCCACACACTTGCTGAAGAGAGTGGCGTCGCTCTTTGTGGACGGCAGGAGCCACCTATCGAACTTGATCTTCGTAACAATCGCTTCTTGAGAAAGATGGCAGACAAGCTTGACGAGGCAAGAATCAGGCGAGGGTAGAGTTGCTTCGCTGAGGCAGCTGTTCTCGTAGTTGGGGACACGATGTTGTGGTAAGCAGCATGCCTCTACTGACTCTACTTAACAACTGAGGCCAGGTCGTCTGTCCAGGAGGCCGCTGCTTCTTGCTCTCATGCGCGCAGCATACTTCAGCGACATCCAGACGGGCGCTCTTGCATCGTTGGAGGCGCATGAAATATATACCGGCGGATAGCGGTGGGATCCGAGGTTCTCGAAAGGGGACAGCGAGCGAATGTTCGCTTCATGCTCTATGTCCTGAGGATCTCCCCATTCCTCAAACTCATGTACAGTCAGGGGCAGTGTTGAGTCCATCATGCTCGTTAGAGTGTCCACGAAGGGAACCTCCAGTATGGCGGCCCCTACAAGAACGGCATCCGCGTGCGAATTCAAAAGCGCGCCCACAGTCAGCCCACCAGCGCTCGACCCTTTCAAGCACAAAGCTCCAGGTGTTGCAATTCCATGAGCGAGCAGATATTTCATGGAATCTACCAAATCGAGCACGGAGTTTTGTTTATTGAATTGTCGTCCACTTTGGTGCCACTCTCGTCCGTTCTCGCCACCTCCGCGGACGTGAGCCCAAGCCAGCGCCCAGCCGCGTCGTAGAAGAGCTATGTGCTCTGATCTAAAGTCGGGTGAGAAACAAGTGCCATAGGATCCATATACCTGGAGCAAACAAGGAAGCATCCCCGGATTACCTGCAGCGTTTGAGGGTTGCCGTACGAGGGTGATAGGAATAATTGTTCCATCTCTGCTAGGAAGCTCCACCCGTTCACACTGCAGGGATTGCAACAGCTCTGGGTGGTTGACCGTGCACCTGCTTACAATCTTGGTGAGCCCACTGGCCAAATCCAACTCGAAGGTACAACCGGGCTCCACCGGAGATCTGAAGGTGTATTGAATAAGATCCGCATTTGCCTCAGCATTGATGCCTGGCTCCACGGATCCGATTTCCGGCAGGTTGACCAGATAAGAATGCAAATTGCCGGACAGGCTTCGGTCTTCAGACAACGAAACTACACATATTCTCGGTGCAGCAGCCTCATGCCCGTAAAGCACCAGCCATCTACTCAGCAGGTCAGCATCAGTTACGTGAAACTTGCCCGGGGGCCTGAAAACTGGCTCCAGGCACGACCATGCACCCTCTGTTCTCTCAATCTCGTCGACAGAAGCTCGATAGACCATAAAGTCCGGCCTTTCATGATTGCTGACAACATAAAGCCAGCCGTCCCGATGCTCAGCAAAGTACTCCACACCAGCTGTCTTTGCAAGCAACGGCTTAAGGATGAGGTCACCCTCGAACCATCCACATTTAGCCAGACGAACCTCTGAAGTGTCCTTCGTATTCGACGAAACCAGAATAAATGCCCGGTCCTTAGTCCGATACAATTCCAGGTATGCGGCTGCATCGGTCTCCTCCCACAGCTTCTTGCAGGATTGGTCACCCGTCGCACGCACTGTCAAGTGTAACGCTTGATATGCTCGCTTGGTTGTCGGGTCTACTTGCACAGCCAGAAGGCTTACCTCACCAAGATCAGAACGATGTTGCAGAAATTCCACGCTGCGGATGTCTGGAAAACGTGCCTCCTTTGCAGCTTGGGAGTCCTTGTCAAGTCTGCGTAGCCGCAACTCGAATGTATCATCGCCGTGTAAATCCACGATGTACGCCAGCAGGCTATGATCATCAGACACCTTGCAGGCGGTAACGTCTACGTAGCTCTCTCCTTCAGCGAGCTTGCCCGTGTCAAGCAGGACCTCTTCAACCTGATCGCTTCCAATAGGTATTCGGCAGAAAAGCAAGTAGCCTTCAGGACTGTGCCTCTGGTAGTATGTGAACGGACCTTGCCGCTCGGACGCAACATTGTCAGCAACCAGCAGGCCTGCTGCTTCTGCCTCCAGTCTTTCCCGAAAATCCTTGGCAGCAGCAAAAATTGTTCGTGCAGCCTCTGTTTCTGCAGCAGCCAATCTTGTCAGGGCTGGTCCCGGATGCTGCAGGTAACTCCATTCATCGATCAGTTTCGCATGTCTCGAAAAAGAACTTAATACCGTGGGTGGCGAAGCTTGTCTCACAGTTCTCCAGGCCTCGCGCAGCACCCGCCGCACATGAGCCATCAGAGGCAGACGGGGAGACAGAGACGGCAAGGCCCTCACAGGGCCTGCTAGGACAACCCATGGCCCTGTACATCTGCGCTTCTGCATGAACCCCCAACTCTCAAGCATGTGCAGTCCGGATGCCTTACATCCTGGTGATCTCGAAAATAGAAAGACATATCAGAGTCTCCTGAAGCTGCCTCTTCTCGTGGTTGGTGTTCCGCAGGACCTGGTGAAGCACATCAATGTGGCTAGCTCGAAAGCGACATATGCACAAGCAAATCATACAAAGACACAAACACTGACGCACAGCGTCTATTCCAGCGTACAGCATGCGTTGCATCCAGCATAACTAATGTCTAAGATAGACATGAACAAGGGAATAACAGCGGATACAGCAGGTCAGCCAGCCTGCTAGATACATTTAGCACAAGGCTGAAACTGTCCAACAATCACCTTTGACTTTGGAAGGCGTTTTCAGTTTGCAGTTTGCGGGTCGAGTTTCACCACCAAGGTGCCTTCTCCGAGATTTCCTTCTGTTGCATTGTGCGGTTGAGCTCCTGCAAACAGACAAGCTAGTGGCTTCTGTGCCGCTTAGAATCTTAGAACTTAGAATCAATAAATGGACAAGTCGATTCCACAGGTGCTGATGCTGGAAGACGAAGCGGCGACATTTTCCGTCTGCAGGAGGGATGGCTTTGCCCACTGCCCAAAGCATGCCTCGGCTTCTATCTCCCAAGACAATCTCCATGGGTCCAAACTCTGAGTGCGAGGTCTGCAACACCTGCTCGGCAGGCAGCGCATGCCACTGCCACCGCTCTTTGCATCCGGGCCGCTCATCGTCGCATCTTGCGGTCTTCATGTGTCCTGACTGTCTGCCTGGTGCAGTTATCAAAAGTAGTGTCTAGCGTAAGTGCAGCCTGTGTCTGTCGCAATGTCCAAGATTTGACACCATGTCAAAAGAATGCGATAGGCGCTCTTCGCGGTTTACAATCACGGCTTCAGGAGAACTGTGACGAATTTGTACCGGATGTTTTCTTTCAGTGGTCAGCTTCCCCCAGGCTTTCAACACATCTCGTGGAATTTTCGCAGCATTAGGCACTGGCAGAATCGAAAGCATCACTGTCTGGATCGATGCCTCTTCAGGTGTGGCCGATCAGTCACCGCAGATCATTGGCGCAAGCTTCGCATGAGTCTTAGGGGGCAGCTCGGAGGAGTCGCAGCTCCAACGGCGGGCTGGCAGGCAACGTTCACAAGACAGGACAAACGCGAGAGAGGCAAAGGCTGGTACCCAGAGGACTCGATCCATCTTGCCGCTTTGCCTTGAGTGTCGTATAGTGCAGAACTTGTTTCAATTTCGTGACCAAGTTACTCTATGCCTGCGCGGCAATGACAAACCTGGGCACTAGGCCACCAAAGGTATGCACGACCACCCTGCGACAGGAGAATGCAGTCCGAACCTCAGGCTCGTTGGAAGACCGCATTTGCTCTCGATTGATATCCGCATCCTTTGCACTTCCACTAGCTGGGACACCAACCAACACAGCTAGCAGCGAGGCGCTTGGGACCAGTCGGCGACCAAAGACGCCACAGCCTTGGGCAGGATCATGCAGCGCTGCAACGCACAGCTACGAGCTGTCCACTGATGAAGCATGGCTCCAGGTCAATCCGCTAGCGAGCGCGCCATATCTGATCTCTGGCGGTACAATCTCAACCAACGACTGTCAGCGTCAAGTGAGCATGATCCTTGGCCTTGCAGCTATTAACTGTTATAGCAATAATTACTCTCGCTCTTACTCTTGCGTGCACTCTTTCACTCTCATTATCATTATCACCTGATCACCTATTATTGCCATTACTATTACTCTATCACAATGACTATAATCATGGATCACCAGCACTATGACTATCAGCTTTGCCATTGCTAGTGCCATAGCTGCTGCTATTGCTAATACTGTGACCAGTACTCGTTCGGAAACGCATGAATCCCGAAGCATGCTGTCCATGCCCATTCGCCAATGATCCACATGCCTGACGGACCTGATAGGATGCTGAGTGCCACTCTCCAGCAACCCTCGTCGCGGGGCATAGATCAGTAGGCCCCGCCTGAGAGAGCAGCAACACCAAGCAACACACCAACTCCGCACCGGTACTGGCCGGGGACCAGGCAAGTCTGGTCTTGTGTGGTCCTCAACTCAGCGGCTTCTGCCATCTATTCGGCGGCAGTCTACAACGCACTGCTGCCACGGCCAGGCTCAGATTGATCTGATCTGCGCAACTCCTTGCTGCGGTGTTCATGGCCTTCTCCTGCAACTGCCTGCGCCGCTCCAGATTCAGCTGAGCACATGCCAAGCAAACCCATTACCGAATCATGCCTTGCCTTCGCAAGGCCTGAGAGCTTTCACAAAGAAACAAAACTCAGCCGTTGGGACGCGGGACTCCGATGGACTGCGTGGGGTGTGCATGTCAATCAGAAAATCGCGCATGTGCGGCCGAGGAAGTTCCGCCAGCCTAGTCCACCTCCCCGCAGCTTCGAAAAGTTCGAATCCGTGGGAACTTATCTTTCGTCGAGGTTTCTTGCCGACACCGTGAAGTCAAAACTTCTCCAGCATCTGTCTGTACATGCTCGTGGCTTGGTTTTGTTGATCGCTTGATGTTGTACTTCCACATTTGCTGAATCTTGCCTTCCGTCCTCGACATCGTACTATGTCATACTCAAACGGATATGTTGTCTTGGTGTTCCAACAGTTGCGCCGCTTGCGATCATCAACTGGGATATACAGGGATGACATGTGCATGAATGGAAGGTTATACGTCGGGTTGGATCTGAGCGCGTGTGAGCATGCGTGCGCTGCTGTGTTAGCTGTTTGTTTGCGTTGTCTGCCTTGCTCGTTTTGTTTGTTCGATCGCCTGTCGGATACATCTGCGGTCCGATAAAGTGGCATGCTAACATTAGTTGCCTCGAGTGCGGAGGCAGCCCTCCAAGGCAACTGTCGAAGCCGAACTGCAACTGTCATCTTCACAGCATATCTATCTGCGCGGCTGCTAGCTGAGAGCCGGACTTGCAGAAACCCACGCAACTTGCGCATCCCGGTAGCCTGTCTGGAGGCCCCCACGACTCACTGTTTCATGCACCTGCCTTGGATCGACTCAGAACTGAAGCTTGAGCTTACAATGTTAATGAGCATGGATGACCGATAGGTGGATCAACAACAAAGGATCCCGCATTTTGACAACAGCAGGTTGCAAAGGCGGGCGATCGAGTTTAGAATTGCCGCTCTGTGCTTGCAAACAGCGGCTTGATATCACAATTCAAACTCGAGCTTGGAGCAGCGGCCTTTCCACAAGTGAAGACATCGAAGGGACTCCAGGCAGAACAACGCCACACGGCCTCAGGGAAAGTGGCGACTGCTGCCGTGCCAACGGTCTTTCATCTGCGTCTGCTCCGCTCGGGCAAAGACCGTAAGCATCGCAGGTTGCAGCCAGTCTTGTTGAGTCGCCTTAGCTACAGCATGCTACAGCTACAGTCTGCTTCAAGGCGCAAGGCAACCAAGGCTGGGATGCCAGCTTGAGTTCCAGGGTGCCGGAATGAGGACCTCCCCGTGTCTCGAGGCATCCTCAGGCGAATCACGGACTTGGAACAGAGAGACAACACGCGCGCTCATCGAAGAAACACGGGACTATGCCAATGCGACCTTGAGTGCGCTCTCCTCCGGTCTGCTGCTTTCCGTGGCAGGGCAGGGGCGGACTTGGCCCCCTCACTCAAGAACCCTGCGAATTCGCACAAGGTACTGCCTGGCTATATGACCGCATGGTTTCAACCATTCAGTGAGGGCGCGATTCCACCGAATCTAGACTTAACAGGACTTAACTACGTAACTACGTACACCAGACAACAGCGAAAGGCATGCGCTGGGCTGAATTTACGAGCCAGTGCAACATTTTCAGCTGGCAGCAACAAACTACTCGAATGCTTCGTGGTGATCATGCGGAAAGCGCCAGCAATAAGTGCGGTACTTACCTTTGCTTGAGGAAGCGGTAGTTGTCCGAATATCGTGGAGCCATAGCTCTGCACGGCACATCACGGCACTTGGTCACTAAGCTCTTGGCAATGAACTTGGCCGCGACGGGCAGTTCCGTGCTCAGGCGGGGAGCTACCTGGCACTTCGCCAGTGTCCGCGGGCGCCACGTGCGAGACAAAACGTACGGAGAGCCTGGATCTCGTTTGCTTGTGCGAAGCCCGCGATTTTCAACACTGCTCCTGGGTTCAGCTTGTGAAGCTCGCTAAGCGTTGAAGCAAATTCAATCTATCAGGCTTACGCTTCCCCTGCCCGAGGAAGCCAAGAAATCCACAGCCTGGCTACCTCATCACCCCTGTGAATGTTCCAGGCAGCAGGACTCGGCCATGTCTTCACAGAAGTACAGAAGTATGCTGGTGCTTTCGACTTCAGGAAGATTGATGACAAAGGCAATGACTCGTGATCAACTGCGAAAGAGATCAACCTGCAGAATGCTCGAAGTACCTGGTTACCATGACGAGCACTCGTTCCCACAGCTGTCCCCATTTACTCGAGCAATATAATGTAATCGTTGTGACCCAGGAACTCCCGGAAGGCACCTGCGGCTAATCCCAACACAACAACAATCTTCACCACCGTTATGCCGCTATGCTGCAACTTCAGACTTGCAAGCGCTTCCTCGGTCACGCTGGGGATGGCCACTACTCGTGTTGCGCGAGGTCACCCAGGACCTGCCAAATTCGTCCAAGCAGGCCTGGGATAGTAGACCCACGTGTAGACTCATTTGCTCTGTATCGGAACAGGGGGGGAAGCCAATGATGAAACTCCGCGGAGATATGACTCAGGTCAGCCGGAGGGTTGAAACGGATAGGCCACTGTGCCACTGCTCGGATCAGCTGGTGTTCCGGAAGAAGTCGGAAAGACAATTAATTGAAAACAAAGAATATAGAAGGAGTGACTGCAGACCTCCGTTTCGAAACCAGCGCAAGCTGATACTTAAAGCTACTGGCCCGGGACAATCGCATAGCAGCCGCCACAGCCACACCAAGCATGTGCGAGATACCAGCCGGCCTGGCATAGCTTCCAAGAGCTGAGGCGGCAGTTCCCAGCAGCGATCTGCCGGGGCCTGCTCTGCAAAGCACTGGTCTGCGCTGGTACCAGGGTGACAGCGATTCAAAGAGATCTGTCTCTGCTCTGTTCCCTGCGCCGACAAGCTGCGCCGCATGTTTTTGCTACTGCATAGTCTGCATAGTGAAGAGCCCGAGCCTGAGCTGCTTGCCTCGAAAGCGCGCTAATTACACGACATTCGGCCGACAATGGCCCGATTCGACTTGGTCCACAGCCGTGTGTCGGAGGCTGTGCATGGACAGAAACGGTTGCCTCGAATTGAAACAAACAATGTTGAACTTGTGCCTCGCTTACACAGTATGTCAGCGTGCTCGACAACATCTGAGAACTACGCGAGCCCAAGGCGACCACGCTCATCGTGTCTTCGAGTCGCTTGATGGCAAAAGGGTCCTGACAGGACAGAGCAGAAAGCAGGGACCGGAATGAGGTGGAGTCCGCTCTCGAAGTCGAGTCACACGTTCAAACTGCCTCCAGTGATCTTGCATCTGGCAGGAGAACGGCATCAGTGATGCCGGCACGGCCACGAAGGTCGTAGACCTGAGACAACTCAGGATCTGTGTGAGCACAAGCGGCCTGGACAATACTGGACCTGTGGCAGGCAAGGCAGACTTCATTTTACGATCCAGTGATCCACAAGAGCCCGTCAGCCACCCTAAGGCATTCGCTACAAGCGCAGCACAGCGAGCTGAGATTGGTCAAGGAACGCTGCCAGAGACCGATAGCTATACCACCTTGTGAAAATCGTGAAACCTGACTTCTGCTATTGGCAGGCCAACACTTACTTCGCGGACTTAGCGGCACCGCCGATCCAAGCATCACCTTGTGATGTTGCGTGCTCTAAACATGGAAGCTTCGCTTCACCATGTGATCAACAAACTCAGGGGGTTTTCAAAGACCGTCCTCTACGTTGGCATCACTAAGTGGCACCTCCGTAAGCCTGTCGAGCGAAGCGCTTTTCGGCAAGCGCTCTTCCCATCCCACAGCCTGTGGGCAAGAAGTCAGGGGAAGAATTGCTAAAACTCAACAAACTTGCGAAGCTTAACGACTCCTCATCTGTATCTACGCAACTCAGGCCTTGGCAGGAAAAGAACAGGTGTTTAGAAAACTAGCTGGGCAAGATTGTTGCCCAGATGAAATTTGGGCTCTGGTCTCGCTTTCTGGGGTAGCACACTGCTGCGATTTAAGGTTTTCCACGACAAGACAAGGTGGTCCATGTCGTCGTAATTTGTTCAAACATATATTCAATATGATGCGTATCCCACCGCGCCGCCTTCCTTCCTTTCTTGAAGCAATGTGCCCAGTGTTCGACAATGAATATCTAAATCAAATCCTCTGCCATTCAACTCCCGGGCGTTTAATTAGTACATAGCTTTCTTTGCGGATGACTCACACATTATATCCTTCAAACTTTAAACTCGGTGCCAAGACTCTGCAGCCGTACGGCCGAAAGCCCTCTTGCCCGAGTGCATGTGGTCTTGGCAGCTGGACTATCCAGCTGGCAACTTGTCGTGGGAATGGACGGCTGGGGGGACCATCTCTTCACAGAAACCCAACTGGTTGGGTCGTTTATCGGCGACACGAGCTTACATTGACACACAGCGGCACTCGCGGCTATCGTAAACCAACACGACAAAACAAAACAGCTGGCCTTCGGCTTGTGTCCTGGTGGCGCAGGAACAGGCTGATGTCCAGCGCGAACAAAGCTTCGCCCTCTTGACCATGATATTTTGGGAGCTTCCCAAGTTCCATCTCGAGGACTGACCTCTTTGATGTCTTCTCTAGGTGCTGGCTTCGACAGTTCTGAGATTCGCTGTCTCCACCACTCTGCTTCATCCTGCAATGCTATATGAGGAGGTGGACAATCTGGCTTTTGCTGCTGGAGGTCGGACGGAAGTTCCAGCAGCATGTCGATTGCCGACATGCGCTGCTTCAACAACTCCGAGAGCTCGAACTGCCTGGCCGCTGCACTAAACATGTTGGGGAAAAATATGTTTTCCCCCAATCCCACCAACCTTCCCGGGGAGCACCCCACAACATCACTTAAACGAAACGGGCGAACCTCATTCGAAACAATTTTGGATTCGAGAGGAAACATGTGACAAGTTTCGTCTGTAGACTGTCACCTTCAAAAATGTTGAATGCCAGGCGATTCAAGATCTGTGTGATCCTGACATGCGCTAAAGCTGGACTGAATTTCAACTTGAATGGAACTACACACTCTACACACACCGAAGATGTGTCATCACGCGAAGTAGTAGCTGAACGTTTATGACACCATTGCCTTTCTTGGGCCCCTTGCATCACGGAAATATCTTGGATATCCTCGTGCCATGAGTTTCTGAAAGAGCATGTCGCGATTCAAGTTAAAGGAAGCCTCGGAACTGTTTGTACGCAAAAGTCTCGTCAACTCAGTCATCACAAAAAAATCCCCAACATGTTTAGTGCATGCGTCGTTTCTGCGTGCAATCACTGAGTGTACCAATGGTGCTATGTGTGATGTACGCGTCAGCTTTAGGCCCGATGAGTTCCAGGAGGAACGAAATGCATAGCTAGAGCTGAAAACCTGATGGTTGCTTGATCTCGGGTTCAACGCCTCCGAGAGCTCGAACTGCCTGGCCGCTGCCGACAAAACACACTGCCCTCAGCATCCTTCAGCCTTCAGACCACCTGAAGATTCCATGTAACATAAGCCAGAAAACTGAAAAGCTCGGCGCCTTGGTGACAGACGAGCCGGCAGACTAACAGCCAAGTAAGACTGACGGATGCTTGCTCCGAAGCGGATTTCGTCGCTTGCGTGCCCAATTCTCGACTTATGTTGATTGTGCGCATGCTGCTTTCGACGACTGCTGCTTGCTCAACTGCTGTGTTCACGAGTGCAGGCCAAACCTATGGCCGTGAAGCTTTTGCATGTTTTTGCCAAATACACAAGTCAGTTGTCTAGTGAAACTAGTGGTTGGACAACGGTTGGCACACAACCTCAAAACGCCAAAAACCCTCACACCTTGCATGTGACAGGTTTCAATAATGCGGGGACCCGAGATGACCCGAGGATACAACGACGGTTAATTACAGTGCCGGCATGTCGGCACACAGAAGACACGAAGGAAGATGAGTTCGAAAAGACAGCACACACATGGCTGAGACCGCTCCAAACGCACGAAAGCAAATCGACGTGTACAACGGCTTGTAAGATCTTGCACCTGCACCTGTATGCAGCACGCCTGTTGTGTGGGTGCACCAACATGAAGTAAACCTCACATACGTTCAAAGCATGCGCCGCGACAGAATGTATGAAGGGTGAAGAAATTCGGACTCCCTGTTGAACAGCTCCAGCGCAAGTCTCGATTCCACGGCAAACATGCAGCTACTGTAGACGTAGTCGCTGCAAATGCACGAGCACGGCCTGGACGTGACCTGGTCAATCTGTCGCATGAGCTCGATTTCGGATTTCTTTCGGGGAAGCACAGCATCAGCATCTGCCATCTCATTTGCGAGCTCTGCTTGAGCCCACAAGCTTGCGAGAAAGGCGTGCTCGTAAGCAGGCTTGATCCTGTCCGGCATGTGCAACACGGCCAGCACATAATAAATAGCTCGCAGAGGCTTGATTGTGCTGGGCAGCCCACAGAAAACCCCAAAGCGTCAAGGGGAGGGCCCTGTCAAGACGTGCCAAGAGCTACTCAGGTTTCGAGTTTCACCATCTCCACGTTTCTAAGGAAACCCCAACCTCCGGGTCGGGAAGCTGCCCAGCTGCCTGAAAAAAGTCCCGTCAGACCGTGATATGTGCCACTGGCTACGGCCTTGCGGATTCCCTCTGGCTCTATCACAACGACGCGACCGTGTTCGTGGAGGAGCATGAGGCTGAGCCTGGAGACGGCAGAAATTTGGATCGCGTGCAGAGACGTTGCTTCTGCTATCTTCTGCGTGTTGCTAGGTTATGCTAGGTTGCAGACGGTGGCCTGGAGCCCGGCATCCGCATGGCATCCTGCGTAGCTCCGGGTCAAGCTGGCCACCCCAAACTTGCTAGAGACAACTCTGGAGATGACACCCGGCAGGAAGGGGAGCAAGCGATCGCAGGAAAAGAAAGTGCGTGACACAGGAGGTCGAATGTCTCCTTGTCTCCTTGACTCTCGTGCAGGTAGTCTGGTCCATCGGGATAGATTTTGCAGTTTGCATGTCTCAGTCCATGAAATGCAGCAGCTCAGCAGCTCATAACCTGTGGCGCAACTGCAGAGCTCAAGGATGTAGGTAGTCCTCTGTGAACTGTCGCGAGCTGCCTGAGCCGCAGATTGGCAGCTTAGCTTTATCACGACTTGGATGCACCATAGCTTTGAGGATTCGACAGTATCGAACTCGAAGGATAGCAGTCGGAGACACCAGGAATGAGAAGAGAACCTGTAGTGGCGCTGGGATGGCAAACCACTGTAAGCCAACCTCCAAGAAGGAGGGCGACTGAATCCGACTGAGCATCTCACAGCTGCCTTGTGCGAAAACAGGCTCACACCACCATGGGCGAATCCAACACAAAGCCTGAAGCAACAAGCCGAGCGGGCCAAGCCAGAGATCGACCATAAACGTCTCATGCATGGGTTAGGATCCGGCAGTGGGTTTCCCTCAACACCAAGATCTGGTATCCATGCCTTTGACGGACAGAGAATCTGCCCAGCATCAGATCAGATCACAGCAGATCAAGGCATAATGCAAAAGTAAGTGTCATGCCAGAGATGTTGCAGAACCTCATTCTGCAACAAATCAATAATAAGCGTTAACTCACGATGGCGCTTGCGATGCTTGTGGACACACTTCTCTGTACTTCTATACGGAAGTCGCAATGAAGCCGGCAATTCCATGAGGTTGTGAGTTTTCCTCTCTTAACGGACTGTACATGCAGGCCTCAAACTTGATGCATGTGTGCCAACATAATCATCTTGAGCCATTGTAGTGATGGAAGAAGGAAGCCGGGCCGACCATGGCCGCACCCGTGACGCACCACGGCTGACAATGTGCCGACAAGGGTTTAGTAAGGCTACGAAGCAGGCCGGCCGTCGCGGTCGACTAAGACAGGAGCGATCACGCGTGACGATGCTTGTTCTGTGGTCGCAAGTTCCTGCTGCTGGCAGCCATCAGACCTTGTGCTAGTTCTCGTCTAGCGGGTCTAGCGCTGAAGCAGGGTTGGTCGGACGGGGGCGGGGAGGCGCCCAGTCCTGGCCCACACATCCTGGACAGATGAGAGAGCTTTATAGCCTTATAGTCGCGTAGCACGACTGCTCCTCCCGACACCAGGAATTCAATAACCTGGGGGTCTCTGCCACTGCCCAACATTGTTCTATAGAGCACGTGGATTGACGCATGTCTCGGATGCAAAGACATGCAAAGTCTGGTCTGTACGGAACGACTGTGCAGCAGCTCTCTGAGTAAGGACGGTGCAATCGTCTGAGTCGGCGACGTCCAAGGACAGCCTTTCACTGTTTTCCTGACAAGCATGTCTGATTTCATCTACTTGTCGTTTCCATAGGAATTTGGCACCGAATGCTATTACGTGTCACAGGGGTATCGCTGCTAATTAAGGCGCAGGCTCCCTGGCAGCAAGGAAATATCAAACCAGGGTTCGATCGCCGTTTCTCACAGGTCATGTACAGTATATATTTCCTGTTTCCAAGGTGCTTAAGCCCGAGGATGACTATTGCACGATTCAATCAGAAGATGCATCAAATCGATAAAGGCTGCGAAGCTGTGAGTCATGCGAGCTCTGCATGGTACGAACGGACAAAACACAGGGGCGCAGGGATGCCACATCGCCGGGGTGCCGCAGTGTGGGCTCGGGGTGTCATGTCGCGACACTCTAAACTGCCCAGTCGAGGCACAGCGAGCGTCAAGTTGGGAGTTTGGGGAACCAGTCCTTCAAAGTAGAGCCGGCAAGGGTTTGGGTTTCGCCACACCACCCATCATCTCCTATTAGAGCATTGGGCTTGTGGCAATCTGTCACTTTCTTCAAGGTCCCGGATGCCAAAACCCCGACGATAACCGTTAAACCAACCGCCCCAAGCCCAACCCACCTAAACCAAATCCCAATACCCCTACCCAAACTTCTAAACCCTAAACAACAAAACATGCAAGCTTGACCCGAACCCCACCATCCGCCTCCCCCCTTTCACAAAACAAAACAGTGAAACTGCAGCCCAAATCTGGTCTGGAAGGGTTTCTGGCAACCGGTGAGTGACTTGAGCGTGTCGTAGTCGTGGGTTGTTGGGAACCGGCTTTCCCAAGGTTCTGCCGAGTGAGTCTCTACTCGGTACTCTACCGACTGGGACCTGCAGAATCGGGTTGTTGCATGCCCGAACGGCTCTTTATGTTGTCTGACAACCAACCCTTGGCACTTGGAACTGCCAAAATGCATTCGTTCATGCGCTGCTCGCAATCAAGATCAATCAAGGGTTGTAGGTGTTGGTGCATACAGTGCCATGCAGCAGTGGGCGAACACATGTCGAAGCTGAGACGGCATGCATGAGGCTATCTCGTTGATGCAATGACGAACTGACAGAAGTCGCCTTCTGCGCGTCACGTTGGAATTGGATTTGGCAGCACTGGGGAAATGCCTTCGGGTTTCTCTTCGAACTTGCAACTGTCCTGTTAATTTTGCAGTGCTCTGAACAGGAGGTCTCCGTATGCTTGCACTCAGTTGCTGCAAAAGCATACATGGCGAGCTGGAAAGTCTACAGCTCTTGGAATGAATTGTAGGTTTGAGGGCTGAGTGTGGTCATGCGTTAAGGGGAGATGCATCCGACAAGGCTGTAAGAGCTGGGCGAGCGCTAATCCAGGCATATCCAGGCTAAAGATTCGAAACGGTCAGCTTGGTGAAGCGATCAGGACTCAAAAAGGCCCAACTAGCGAAGACTTGAGAAGCCTCGACACCAGCCAAACGCATTTTGCCGGCCTGTGGCTACGTTAGTGCAGAGTTCCGTTGAAGCCCGACCGAGGCTTTAAACTCTAGGCGCTTAGCCCTAATGCCTATGACTTGGCATTCGGGGGGGCAGTTTGGATGCAAGGCCCGCCTTTGTGTCCCCCTCGGTGTTCTGGTCGCTGTCCCGGTGGAGTCTCATGCCTGCGCCGGTCGCGCATCCGGTGTCCCGGGTGGTGTTCCGCTGGTGTCCCGGTCCTTGGTGGTCCCAGTGTGCCGGGTACGCCGCCAGTCGCGGTCGGTGTTCCGTCTTGTTCCGATGGTGGTCCGGGACTGTGTCTGCAGTCGGTGTCCCAGTCGTGTTCCAAACGGCGTCTGCTCAATGTGCTTGTCGTTGTGAGTCTCTCATTCGTGTCGTGATGGCTCATGATGGCTCGTGTCCTGCTCGGTGTCCCCGTCGTGTTGGTGTCAGTTCTGAGTGCTTTGTCCCAGTCGGTGTCACACTGTAAGGACAGAGCAGTTTCCACGATTGTGAAAGCACTTGATGCAACACAGAGCTGTTTGCTGGGATTTGGGGTTTGTCACACCTTTCGGCAACCAATCACTCCCTGCAGGCCAGCCCCCAGCATCCCAAGCCCACACGCTGCACCAGAAAACGCGAATGCAAGAACAAAACCCACCGAGACCCGCCAAGGCAGAACCACGTGATCCACACAAACACCCGACCCCCTCCCCAACCAACATCATCCCACATCCGATCCTGGACCCCGGCTGGAACTCCCGGCGGCTCCGACCGGAACAACAAAAGCAACGACCCACGGCCTGCCCGCAGACGAGACCCTTTTCGCAGCGAGGCTTGGGTTTGTGGCTTGCATCGGAGAATCCAAGAATGTGAGCCTGTTTGCTCGGTTGTGTTGGTTTGGCGTGTGCGTTGGCTTCGAATTGGGTTTTGTTCTTGGGTTGCGGCTTTGAGGCTTCAGTGTTGGGCTGGAATTTGTGCATTTCGGGTGAGCCGGACCTTGAAGAACTGGTCCTCACCCGAATCCCTAGAGGGAGTGTCTGGGCCGGGCCGGGCCTCAAAGAAACGGCATCGTAGAAGTTATATATATATACATATATATATATATATATATATTATTATATACTCGTAAAACTGGAACTTCGACAGACATCGACAGCGACGAGCAAGGAACACGCGTTGCGTTGGCAAAGCGTATTGCGAATTAGGCAGGTCCTGAAGGACCTGATTTTCATATATGGCATCCTCCCTCTCTGCGGCGCTCCTGCCACGAAACATGGCGCTGGCGTGTGCTCGCGGATTTCGCCGATGTGTGAGCCCCGCTGTGATATTCGGTTGCAGTGTGCTTCGGTCTGTCACATCGTGGTGCCAAGGGGGTCGACGTGGGGCAAACGCACTTCGTGTCGCTGTTGCTTGTCATGATGAGCTCAACATCACGCTCATGCAGATGTCACGCGTCGAGGTATAGGAAGAAAGCTCCTCGTCTAGACTTTAGACTTTAGACTTTAGATTTACCATGCTGCCTTCGACTCGGTCAGCCAGTCAAACACCTGGCAACGCACGGCATTCTCATGCTTGTGAAGCAAGCAACATGATGTGGGGCTGGCTTTGTCAACACATCTGCCGTTGAGCTGTGCCGCTCCGCCCAACCATGCAAGCGGTACCAGCACGAGTCCATCCTTACAACATCTTGCAACTCAGCAACATTTGCCACACGATGCCACATGTGAAGTACGTGCCGCGAAGCTGCCTCTGAAAGCCAAGCAATGACAGTTTCAGTGTTTCCCTGCAAACAGGGCAGCAGATCGTTCTGGCTTGTCAAACATCCCAGTGCCCCCATGGAAATTGTTGCGTGCCGGCAGCTCAGTGACAGAAGCCAGCTCAGTGACAGAAGCGAGCTCCTGTCACGTTCTGGCGGGAACTACTCAAGTGGAAGGCAGTATGCACGGCGTGAAGTCTTCGAAATCGGAGAAAGATCCAACTTCCGGCCATGTTGCAATCCTTGCTGACACAGGCATCCTTGGCGTCGTTGCCGGAGGCATGACCTGTGTGTCTCTTGGATCATGATCAGTCACAGTCATTGTGATGGCATCCTGCGGGCCCTTCGTTCCCCCGACTCTGTCGATCTTGCCCAGATCGGCATGTCCGTTCTTCGGAGCAGCTAAAGCTTCGATAGAACTTTGACCAACCCTCACGGATTCTGGAAAAAGGTCATATCCTGTCATATTCGTTATCAAGAACAAACAAAGGTCACAATGCGAGACAGTACATGCAAAACACCCGATCATCAGCTGTTTATGTTTGCTGTTCTTCTGACCGTTGAGGCCTGCACCTAAGGTCTGTAGCATTGCGCGCTGTGTGTCATCCGGGGGTCAACACCTGCGGCATTGCTCAAACTTGCCAATGCACCCTGCAAAGGTAGCACCCTATTCCAGCACTGCGCCGTTTTCGGCCGTTTCAATCCAGAAGGCTTGCCGGCCTGAATCTTCGCTCGCAACGAGCCACACTCCAGGCCCGTCTAGACTAACTACTGCACGCAGTGTTGCATCCATGGGACGTGCACTGCCGGCGCCGTATCTCATGTCTGGACCACGTCAATCCCTCTGACAACCATCTGATGTGACTCGAGCATATTCAGGCTGCAGGTGGGCTGAAGTCGAAAGGAAGGACCTGCGGCACATGGCACATGCAATGCATTTTTCATCATGACAACTTCGCAGGAACGATGATGGAAAACCAGCGACATGCATAGCACCTTGTTGTAAGTGAATAAACGAGCTTTGATCCAGGTCTGCATCGCAGCCTGCTGATGGCAGAGACGTTGCATCTGGACCGGAGTTGGAAAGGTTTACTTCTGCCTGCCGCACGTCACTGGTCTGCGGCGGCCGCAGGATGAGAGCACCGAAAGCATAGTCGACCTGGCACTTGCTGCCTTGTCTGCCTTCCCGCACATTGCCTAATCCGAGCACCATAAGCGTCATAGGCGTGCAGCGGCCTCTCCCTCCCCCCTCCGGAATAAGGATCGGGAGGCAGCATGAATAGAACATCACTTTTTGGTTCCAGCTCCTCGGATTCTATAGTATAACAGCAACGCGTGAAATCTGAATTACAATTACAAATCCCACGGGCCCCGAGGCTTTCCGACCTGGGTCCCTGTCATCCTGTAAGTAGCTCAGGAAGGAATGAACAATTGCTTTCTACAAGCCATTCAAAGCATGAAATGATAACGCCTAGCTTTCTGAAGGGCCTCAGCTTTTGGAAAATGCCGTACTACAAAAAGCAACCTCTGATTAATGGAGAGAGCTGGTTCTTAAAGCTTTGCTTAAAGAAGCAAGGAAGTGTCAGCAAAGACTGCAGGACTTAGGCCCCCCCCCAAAATAAAAGACACAAAGATGGTCCCTGACCTCCGGACGAAATTCAGTCGCCGTTGAAACTCCCCTTGCCGGCCAAATCCCGGCCCAGGAAAACTTCTTTAAATATGGTCTCCTTTGTTAATCCAGTGCTCGGATACCGCCTTGGCACGCTCCTCACCGGAGGACTTCAGATATTCTGGCAGCGCAGCCTGGTGCAGGCTTGCACTGTAAAGGGAGCAGCTAGCCCAGGTATGAAAGACAAAGCCTGCAGGAGTGCAAATGGAGTCCCAACTGGAGCACTTCGTTGGCAAAGACGCGCTTCTATCCATTGCTCGAAAGTGCTATAATGCCCAACTGAAACTCATCGTCGTCCACGCTTTCGTGTTCTTGCGTCTGCAGACGGCAGCAGAATCGTGGAAGCCCTGCCTTGACTGCAGCATCATCCCACGACATTGCAGCATATGCGCCATCCATGGCCTTCGCAGTCGGCTTTGCAGACCGGTTGCTTGCGCAGCTTCCCTGTTCGGGGGCCTTCGCCTCGCCCCAGTCAGCAGCTGCATCATAAGCGGCCATCATCCTCGAAGCTGACACGCGAACTAGTCACTTGCCATGGCCTTTGGGACTCCGGCTTGAGATCCGAGACCAGCTGCTGCACGGCCTTGGGCTCTTGGCCCGTCATGACGCCGCTAACCTCAGAAAGAAAAACGAGGAAGGCAGGCTTTGAGATGGCTTCAGGCTGACACCTGTGAAGTCATCGCAGGTCATCCTGGCATTGCCAATGCAGTGCGCAATAAAGCGATAAAGCCTCCAAGTCCTAGGCTTCCTCTTCTGGCGCTCCTCCATTCGGAGGCCGCCGCTTCCGCGTTGCACCGCTTTGCTGACACGTCTCCGAGCTTGAGCCGCAGGACACAGCAGGCTGTGTCCACTTCGAACAAGGAAATCGCTCACAAAAGTCACAAGTATACTGCCGTGGCAACAACAAAAATATACAAATTTCAGCTGATTGCCGAGCAGATCCGGAAGCTATAGCGGTACTACAACGCATGCATCACACGTGACGGCAAGTACAACCTGCATGCCTCCCGTGCGATCATCCCGGCATATCCCGGCTCATCCAAGAAGTCTCATCCGACATGCTGTAGCTGTGCTGGAATTTTCAATAGAACTCGAGAGTCCTTTCGAGAGCTCTTGAGGATGTACATTTTGTGTGGGGCACTGTTTCTATCTGTTTCTGCATTGTGCTGCATTTGCTCGTGGTGGATGAGCATGGCTTGAGCTGCTGCAGCTGGTGAAGCCAAAACGAAAGGAACGTGACACCTAGTGCCGACAGGCTTCCACGAGTCAGCTCCTTCGCCAGCGTCTCAAGCACGATACACGCATCCAAGCGAGCATCTGTAATCGGAATGACAGCACCTGCGCAAGAAGAATGCAAGCTATCCGAATCTATCCGACCGCTGCGTGATGCTTATGACCTGCCATGTTTTGCATGATGCAACCCTGTGGTGTCGCCTGCTGTAGCAGGTGCCTGGACCTTAGCTGTTCAAGTTTCAACATGATGGTGGCTTTACGCAGTTTGGCGAGGCTCAATGTAGCAGAATACGTCCATGCTATCTTGCTGCTGCGATTTCATAGTCGGACGATGAAGTTTTAACAACGCTTTCGAGAGTCCAGAGTCGGATTTGTGAACAAGTTAGATTCAGTTAGATGGCCTTACCCAAAGGCTTTTCCAACGTGTGGGTAATTGCCGTGGGAATAGCGCTGTTTCGAAGCATGGAAATGTCAACAAAAGTACCGTTGCAAACAGGTATATACTTAAGATTGCGGTTGGATTTATCATCCTGCTTGAAAAAGTGCACAAAATCGCCCAATATCACTAGTGTGCGTGTGCGCACACTTATACATGTGTGTATGTATGTATTTATACACACACACACACATAGCTGAACCCAGCAACTGGATAACTCCTTGCGACATCTACCATCTCATATCATAAGGATGCAACTCCGTTTCAAGTCGAGAAGCTTACATGCATTCCATGCATGCTTTACCCCGACACCGGCATTTACATGAAATACATGAATCATCTTCACCACATACTGACGCTTCATTGATCGGCTGCTGCAACTGCGAAGAGCAGGAGCAGCTGTCAAGCAGAAAGGAATGCTGCGCAGCGACGTCTCAACTCAGGCTATAGCAGGCAGTAGAGTCTGCAGAAGACTCGAGGTAGACATGTACCTGATCAACTGCTTTGCGCTTTTGCTGTCCGCCCGCCGTTTGGTTTCAGTACCAGGGCACGCCCGTCTCTTCGCAGTTCAAGCATGTCAATACAATGATGCATAATCCGCTAGCTGCCTAGGGGTTTCTGCACCAACAACTTGCGCCGGAGCACTTCTTGGCATGGAAGCAGCGTATGGTGAGGGCGATCAAGTCACGCGCAGTACGCGTAAGGGCCATGAGGTGGAATGTCTTGACTTCGCTCATGACCAACCGGAACTGCACGAAGGTGCGCAAAAACTGCCGAAAACAAACACCGTCGACCAAGCCTTGGTGGTGTCCAACGGATGAATTATGACTTTCGGGTATTCGGACGAGTACCTCGCAGCACAACACAATGATCGAGGATAGCATTGCCAGTAGAAGCCGGCGAAGGGCACTCAGCGTAGACTTCCCGGCTGTCGCGGCCTAAGCGCGTGAAATCCATGAGAGGCCAAAACCGCACGTCTCCCACATTGCTTGTTCTCCTCACATCAAAACTCCACGATGACAGAGAGTGGCAAGGCTACAACGGCACCCCGCTACCCGGAGCGACTGGGCCCTAGTCGCTGACTCTTACAACCTGGAGCCTGCGCGACATGTACTTTTGGCAGCTCTGAGATGAAGTCCCTGGTAGCCAGCTCCAACAGACGTCACCTCAGAGGATGTTTCTATAAGCAACATTACAGCACCCACAAGTGCTGTGGCTCGCACCCGCACACCCTCGGAGGAGACTTGTATGGCCAGATCCTTCCCGAATGATTTTCCGCTGAGAGCACCACATAGGAAGAGCACATCTTCTTCATGTAGCGTTGCATGGCATGGCATGGCATTGCGCTTCATGCAGAGTCCTGCCGGGCACCACCGGGAGCTTCTCCAGGAAGTTTTGACTGCATGACCGCGAACCTGCCGCATGGTCAGCCAAGGGAATCCTAAAATTGAAACCCAATTTTAGATATTCGTTCAAAGCACTTTGAAGTGCACCGAACCCCAGTATTTTTCGGAAGGATGTTCCCGATTCCAAGGATGGTTTTGAGCCACTGCAACAGCAACGTCGCACTCAATGGCAGAAACAACAAGTCGCAGACCTTGCCAGTACATCTCCAAATGCGCCAAGGAAGGGTGAAAGCCATGTGTTCGTGGAGAAACTCTGGAAATTTCGACAAGCTTGGGATGACTTGCGTCAGGGCAGGTACGGAAAGACTCTCCACAGCGACACTCACTGCGATTTCTGAAAAGATACGAAGGGGCTCTGGATCGTTCCTGCTGCCGGCTAAGGTGAGGGGCCTCGTAAACTGAGGCATCAGAGTCTTGGCAGGCCTACAGTCTGCTGGAGCTGAGGAAATACTGCAAAGCTATGCGGCATCCGGCCGTGTCAGGATGGTTTGCTTGAGTTCTGCAGGCAATTGGCTTGTGCTTCCACATGTCCGAAGGCGGGAGCGTAGACCCTGCCACTTCAAGCTTCCAAGGCAGACAAGTCAGGCTTGAGACTACAAGCTGCCCACATCTGCCCATGGTCCTGCCTACTCCCTCCCAAACCCAGCGCGTTGTCCAGGCTACGTCTGGTCGCCGGGTCGAGCTCAAACGGGCCGATCTGCATCGCGGATGAGGCATGAAGGAGCTACCCATGAGCTTCCCACAACAGCACCAATCGGCCTCTCCGATGACCGTGCCGTGGTGACCATCGTCCACGTCTGCTGGCTGCGCCTGAGGGAATATGCTGTCTGCGAAACCTTAATGAAAACTTGCTTCGGAATCTAGACTTGCGCCTCCACAGAAATGTCGGTCCCAACATCGTCAGCCGAGATCTGGTACCTGAGCAGATCGACCGCACCAAACTCGGCTTCCCTTCTCGTCTGACTTCTGAGGCCCCGTGCATGTTTGAAGTTACTCCGGGGATTTCCACTGGGAGGTCGCCAATCTTGCGCTTCCATCTACATTTCAGGGGCACCTCGGATTACCAAAAAAGTCCTGCTGACCGTTTGCTCGACAAAAGAACGTTCCGACAGCACTTTTGTCCCATGTTTTCACGATCAACGGCCACAATTGGTTGTCTTGAATTAGCATGACTGCACATGAGTTGCAAACGCGGTCGTCTGCATTCTGCGACGCAGCAAGCTATCTTTTTCATCTATATACAAGCCTTTGTGGGCCTCGTCCTGCTCAGGCATATCCTGAGGTGAAACGATCACCGAGGCAAACTGCCGTACCGCAGTGAATGTGCAGACATTGCACTTGGTGATCACGGCTCACCATCCTCGGCAGTTCGAGCTACGCAGCACCGACGCATGTCCATGTGCAATATTGCAGTAACTTCCGAAACCCTCGCGTATGCGTTCGTGCCGCTGTGCTCTTGTGGCGCTGCCCCAATTGCTGCCCCAACTGCCCACTCGCTGTGAGGGGCGCTGCAAATCCCGAATTGTGAATCCTAAGTATCATATCCTGGTGATGGAAAAGTGCATACTGCCGTGATCCACAAGAACTGAAATGTCTAGTCGAGTCTAGCATCGTAGCGCAGCAGCAGCTGCAGCTACCACCACCAACCAACAATCAACAACCACATCAACAAACAACAAACAGCAAACTCCCACTTCTCTTCATTTTGACCACCAGTCGTCCGGCCAACAGTAGTACATGAACTACTGACAACAGCAACACAAAAGACATCCTGAGCGAATGCGACACTGATAGTTGGCAGATAATGGCAAGACATATCAGGCATTGCAAGGACCACAAAAAACACTTCGTTCACATCGCGCCCACTGTTGCTCATGCCTGGGAGAACAAGCGTGCCGTGTGATATTTCCGCATACAGGGATTGGCTCGAACAACTGCTTGTGTCGGACATTTCACCGTGTTCCGTGCAAACTCCCCTGTCTCTCGGGAGTATCATGGAGTATCCAAGAGTTCTAGGGCTGACACGAATTTTAGGGCTCCATCAGAGCTTCGGCTCTTGACGGCTCTTGCGCGGTTTCGTGTTCTATGTGAGACTCAGGGTGATTTTGGTTCATGTTGGGATCGTCCGGAGGGGTTCACGCTGTTGTCTTCCTCAGGGTCGCAGGGCTAAGCTGCTTGGGGTCCAAGTGCAGCGTTAAATCCAAAAAGCATCACCAGGACTCTTAGAACGAGCTAAAAAGTGCAATGCCAGCAACACAGCTCACAACTGTGTTGGTGTATGTCCTTAAAGTCCTTAACTGTTCTTTACACATTGTATGTCGGTGCGTATAGATGCCCCNNCCCCGCCCCCCCCCCCCCCCACCCCCTCTGCATCAGCTGCGATTTGAAGGAGAGGATATGGAGGTGGGGCCTCTTCCTGGTTGCCCAAACATCGCCAGGATTCTGAAAATTTGGGGGTCCTTCTCCACTCCCATTTGCTTCCTTCCCTGAGTCCCTCCTTCCTTCCTGCTCTTCCTGCGTCCCTCCCTTCCTACCTTCAGTCTTTGCTCGTTGTTGTTCGCTTCGCCTTTCATGTCTTCGTTCCTCTCTTCCGCCTTCAGTCCATAATTTCCTTGCCTCCTCATTATCCGACTTCCTGCTTCGCGTGCACTTCTTTCTGTTCTCTCTAACATGCGGCACCCGTAAATTGCTGCCTTTCGCATGTCTTATCTTCTGCATTGTTCTTCCTTAAGCCTTGATGTGCTTTACGCCGAATTGTTCACGCAAGATCGGCGATCCTGGCCATGTGCTGGTCGTGTGCCCCCTGAGACTGTGGGGGCACTTGCCCTGCTGGGCGAGGGAGCTCATTTTGCAGAAGGCCACACACGCTAGACAATTCCGAAGTGACAAAAATGAGGGATCGCAGTGTTTCACTCAGGCAGAGGCCCTTGCTTACTCGTTGGAGGCTTGGGATTCTTGCTTGGCGATGCGTGCCTCCACTGCACAGAGGCCACCAACTTTAACACAACTTTCAACCTAATCAGGCGTTTGAACGGACATCAACACCGGCCTCGATCCGAGCTTTGGCTGCAGCGGCTCGCTTCCGCTCTTCATCCACCCAGTCGAGGTCATCCGGGCGCAGCTGGTCACAATCGGTCAAAGCAGTTGGACATGTCACCACATCCGGTTGCAGCCTTGTACACAGTGAAGGCAAACTCTGCGAAGCAGAAGCTGACAACGCCGAGCCCCATGAGAAAATTCCTCCGCACTCTCCGCACGATCGCAAGCTGTGGAATGTTGAACATTGTTGAACAGCAAGTGCCATCTGAAGTCTACACGCGCCTGAGCTCAACTGAATATCTTGCTGGCTTCCCCATCATAAACTGGTGGTACCTTGGCACGAACAGGAGCAGAGTCTCAAAAAAGGGCTGTGAGTTTGCCTGCAGCCAGGCCACTGCTCTCTTGGAATATCAAGCTGTTCGGGAGCCCCAACAGGTCGGACGTAGCCTTCCAGCGTGGGAGCCTCGGAGCTCAGAATCCCATCCCGTCCCACGCCGAAGCGCTCTGCGCTGCCATGCCCCGCTCTGGCCCCGCTGGCGCCTTTGGTCGGTGCAGCTCCACCTCTTCCCATGTTTCCAAAGGCCTGAATCAACTATGACACTGCTACCAGTAGCCGCCTCTCGGCCATCTGCTCCCTTAAGTACCGGCATCAAAAAGCTGTGGGTCTTACTTCCCGAGCATGCAGTTATCCATAAAGGAATTCAACTCTAGCCTGGCCTTGGGGCAGAGGTGTTTGAAGCCCTTCTCAGGAAATCGCACCTCGGCGACACATGCTGTCAATAGCCTAGCGGCTTAGCGCATTTGGTCTTCTGCTATGTTGCGCATCATCCAACACTTCCCTTGCTGCTTTGTGTAACAATAACAGTGCTATATGCAGAGCAATGCTGAAACAGCACAAGCAGCAACAACTTCAGGGTGCAAATCAGAGATTGAAGATTTCAAGCTCAGCGAGGCAATCCTCTTCCAGGGTGCGGTGCTCACTGCACATCTGCAGCCTACAAAGCTAGGAATCTGAACAGCTCATTTCTTCCGATCCTGGTCCACTGTCGGCAAGCTCGCACAGCTCATCTGTGCTTCTGCTGATCCCGAGTCTCCCACGCTATCCTGCGTGGCAAGCATCTGACCTTGCGCGGCCACACCATGCTAGGAGATTGCATACCATCAGGCGATTGTGTGACGAAGCTATATGCAGCCATCCGAAACCACAGCTCTTAGTTCACGCGCTTTTGTAGACAACGCCTCTTGATGTCTCTTGTTAGTACACAGGTTTTTCGAATCCTGTTCGCTGATTCGAACGATGCTGCTGTGTTTCCTGGCTTTTGGGCACGGTGGTGGTTCTTGTTAGGACCCCCGAAGCAACTCACAGCCGTATAGTTACCCTGACATTGACATCGCTTTATGGCTTGGAAGTTCAATCTGTGGGGACGGCAAGATTCCAAGTTCCGACTGCTACGGCAGGTGCCTACAATGGTTCCTTCATGTGCACGGACGAAAGGTGGCAGCGGAGATAGCAGCTCCGCTTCTTCGGCCGGCCGTTTCACAGGAAAAGGTACATGGCTACATCGATTGGCCCGATGAAGCGTGCCATGCAGGCTTGGGACTGGCCGTTGTCTGTTCGCTGTTGATCTGCCTTGGCTTCATCTTTAAGCGCAGACGAGGAAGCAACATTCAAGGTGCGCACGCCTCGGAAGGACCCACTGCTGCTTGCGAGCCGTTTAAGGCGAGTCCTCTTAAAGCTTGGGACATTTCTGTGAGTATTTGATCTCGTCTGGAACACAGACTTTTAGTGGCGTTTGAAAGACATAGCACGCTGTTGCTGGGATATTCACCAGGGTGCTGTTTGTTTCGATGCGAGATGATGCGAGCTTGCCAGTACAGGAGCAAAACCAAGGATTGACATGACAGTGCGAAAACGTATTGATTAAACCAACACTCAACCGCTAAGACGTCCGTATCGGATGCAGCAAACTTGATGCACAGTGTGTTCCATTGTGTCCCTCCGGTTTTGCTTCACTGCACAGTGGCCTGCCGATGGCAGGAGCGAAGAGGAAGCATCGACGCCTGGCTGCAGCAAGTGGCACCATCTTGGTCCAGCATAGACGAAGCATGCACCAGACTCACCAGACCCACCTTGGGTCTGCGAGGCTCGAATTGGATCAACAAAGCTTGGAAGCATGACGGCTGCGGTTCAGACACGATTGCCAAGTGTCCGTCCTTCGGCTTTTCCTCGGGCATGTCAAGCATAGAAGTCTCTCGCGAAACTAAGGCTTAGGCCGGGAGCCCTCCAGGGCTCGCCTCTGCAGACGCCACCAGCACGCCGGTCTGCACACAAGCAAAGGCTCAGAAACAGGCTGGAAGAGTCATGAAAATGCGACACAAGGATTGATGGCCACAAGCAAAGGCCTGGAAATAACCGCCACCTTCTAAACGGAACCTCAACATGCATGGTCTGCTCATGGGCACCAGGGAATCGGACATGGGATGGTGAGAGATAGCAAGGGTCAAGCAAGCTGAAACTTTAGGTTTCCGAAGGCGCGCGGCTTGAAGTGATAGTTGCATTCACCACGCACACTGCCCAGAAGGTAGTCCTGTTGCAGCGACAAGGCTGGAATCCAGAGCTGCAAGGAGGAGAAGTTTGTTTACGGTCCGTCGCGTTGACTCGATTCTGCTTCTCCCACGGTTTGTGCATGTCTGCAAGGTGCCAGGTGCCTCTGGCTGCTCAACTCGGGCCAGCCACCTTGAGGCTAGTCAACTCAGACTCAGAACGCCTTTGCAAAGGCCATGGCCTTTTCGGAAGCTCATTCAGATTGTCCCGCAATCGCTGCAGGCTTGCACTGTCCTGGCGAAGACACACCCTGCGTGTTGCAGGTTTAGCCACCTTACCCTTCTAAACGACCCAAGCCCAAGCGTGCCGAAGAATCATGCAGTGAACTCGTCAGGTCTTTGAGCGTTTGCATTCGCTGCAACTCCACGATCACGGCGGTCACGTCATTACGCAGACCCCATCAAATCATCAGCATGATCCGGCATGCGAGTCATGCGACCACTGAAATTCTGACGCTAGAGAAACAGTTGGACCTGTACTTGTGCTCATTCAAGGCAATGTTGAGTGTACTGAGTGTACTGGGTGTACTGGATGCACTAGACTGGAGCAAGGCTGGTCGAAACGAGCAGCCACCCTGTCAGTTAATTTATAACTTGAATACCTTTCATGCAACTCCATGAGCCTCCAGGCATGCGAGAACGTTGTTGAATTGCCAGCCTACACGCTCCTCGACAGCTCAAGGATCCGTAAGTCGGCACTGTTTTGTAAGGCGCAGTGGGGCCCGCTCACACTTGCCACTCCCATCATGCCTGCCTCATAGATTTTTGGGTTGTTTTCTGAAAGGTTCATTCTGAGCTGGGATGGTAAGCGACACGGTCGATGATGTCTTTGTGCTACGGAAGCATGCCTGGCCGGCTGCCAAGATGCGAGGACTTTGACATCTTAGTCATGGCTCCGACCGGCTTCATCTGACCAGGGCGTGCTCGAAGCTTGCGGTGAAACTCTGCAGCTCTCAATGCCCAATTAAGCCGTGTGTAATGTGATGTAACATGAATGCTCGGCAAACATACTGACATCCGCCATAGATTGCCAGATACGTAAAGGAAAACTGAGCTTTGCGCATGAAGCTGCTTTATGGTCTTCAGCGGCTACATCTCTGTCGAATGTCGTCCGCAACACCATGTGCTTAGATCGGGAAAACCGCACATCGTGCCTGAACGACAAGAGATGGGGGTGTCTTAAACAGGATGTCATATAGGGAGAGAGCGGAGGGGGGGTCAGAAGAATAGCTTTTACAGTAAGTGGACTTTGGGACGCTGGGGACGTTCGGAATAATTTTCGGCAACCCGGGTCCGCACCCCGGCGGTAACCCCGGATCTGGAGGAACTTGGTCCGTTAATATTGGGGGAGTGGAACGAGCAAAAGAGAGAGCGAGAGAGAGAGAGATAGATATATGTATATATATATATGTATATATGTAAGCTCGCTCCCCCCATGATCCACCATCGGTGGGCCTGGGGAGTGGGGGGAACACGCACAGTTACTAACTGAAACTGTCGCAAGCCGGAAGTCTCCCGCTGCGCTGTTGTACAGTACGATATGTGATGTCGTGTCTTCTATTGTGCTTTAGGTCCTTATACGTCTTGCCCTCTGAAAGTTCATATCATCTTGCTTCGGAGCTTGAGGCGTAGGACCACTGAATAACCAGAATAGGTCTGTATTAACATAGTAATAAAAAACGATAAGGGGATGTTGTTGCTCATGATTCAGGC